GGGGGGGGGGGGGGGGGGGGGGGGGGGGGGGGGGGGGGGGGGGGGGGGGAGGGTTCAATGTCGCCAGTGTTGACGCGACCCCCACGAGATTAAGGATTTTCCAGGGCCAGCTTAAATAGTGACGACACACTGTTCACGCTCCCGAAGCATGCTGCCTTTTTGCGGATAATATGCCCTGGTTGAAATAGTGACGACACACTGTTCACGCTCCCGAAGCATGCTGCCTTTTTGCGGATAATATGCCCTGGTTGGCTGGCTGCCATATCCTTTTTCGGTTGAGGCTCTCGGCACCCGCCACCATTTCCCGACTGCCCTCACGGCACACCTTGGCAAGCATGCTCAACACAGGCACAGGTAGCACAGCAGTAGTGAAGTATCCAACCTACTATTTTCGACAGAAATGCACCGGAAGCCCGCAAACTTCACCTTCTTCCACGAGAACACCCCACTCCCAGACGAAGCGGCCTTGACTTGCAGCTCGTGCAGCGTCACAGCGATGCCCGAGCCGGGTTCCACGCCCTCGCCCCAACCGCTCCCCTGCTGCTCTGCTGCTTGGCCGCCTGACTCCTTCCGAGGAAACGGCCACTGAAAGTCCGGCGGTCGTTCCGCGAATATCTCTAGCTCTTTCTGCGTAACGAGACCTGTTGGAAAAATTGGTCGGTCGGGTACAGGGGTGATCGGGTTCACCCCCCTTGCTAGTATTAATAGCATTTTTTATCCAAATATCTCGAGAAATCTCGTTGGGGCACCTGGTGTCCGGAGGCCATGGGTAGTATCCCGCAGGTGTCCTAAAATCTTTTGAATAGAGGTCAGTTTTTCTGGGCCCGGGGGTACAGGGGTATATTTGGAAGGAAATAGAATATTCGCGAGAGTCCATCCGCCCTAGAAACTGCTACAGCGGGTGTAGCTTCGTCTGCAATGCTTCAAAGGACGAGGCGAACAGTTTCCAGTAGGCCGGTGTCAGCCAACTGCTAGCAACAGGCTGAGAGACAGGAGGGGGAGAAATGGGCTCGAGACACTGAAGACGATGTTTCAGCATGCGTTTTCCATGCTCATGCTGCTGGCGAAAAACTAAATTCTGACCTCTACGCAGTAACTCAGCACAGATCAGTGCAGATAACCAATACAATACTATCCGTCATCACACCGCACAAAAGGCACAAATAGGCTCAAACAAATGCTAGTAAACTATGCGACCCAGGGCTTAACACCGTACTGTCAAGGTGACAATTATCTTCAATTTCCGCTATTCGGTACGGACGGATGCGATCTCCTTCACCTGAAGGGTCTCTCGGTACCCTATCGACGATCACGGCAATCCCTTCCTCAGAGAGCAGATTTCCCATTCCAAGCCTGCGGATTTCGGGTTGTTGTTGACGTACGCATCAAGGCAGGCCAGCGGATGAGCAGCAACGGGGGTCAGGAAGGCAGCATATGCAAGCACGATCCCGTCTTGCGCCTGCCACAGAACTCTGAATTGGACCTGAGTCTACCGTCGGTATATTGCAGTAGAGCGTCCTGCACGTGTGCCCACACGTTTGCGGCGGTGGAGTTGCTCAGGAGAGGTTTCAAAACGGGTACACATATCACTGTCCTTAACCTCCGGGAGCACCATGAACTTCGGCCGTCTGACGACACCTCGACGCCCAAAGTTAACGCGAGACGCACGGCCGACACTCTCCCCCGATCTTGCCACCATAGATCGAGGGGTGCTTTGGGTCGTGCGCGCGCAACATGGGATTCGGAACCTAGGTGTAGGGTACACCTGATGAAGATCGAGTGAAGCTCATCCGGAGTTGCGTTTCCGTCGTTGTCCATATCGAAAATCTCGAAAGCCGCACTGTAGTCAAGGCTCCCTGCCCAAATTGAAAGACGAAACGGGGTGTACTTATATATAGAGCATTTTGTGTGACTCTTAACAGCCTTCCTCCTTGGGGAGATAGATAGTGATGGAAGCAGTTTTTACCAACAGTTGTCCCCGTGCAAGAGTCGTGCCGCACTTACTGGAGCCGTTCCAGCTCACCCTCCCTACCCCTGGCCCCTGTGATTCCTAGACGCGGCTGCCCTTCGTGTAAGCAGTGTAGGACACGGAATTTCTTTTCTCAGCACATGCGTTGCGGCCGAGTTCCGTCAAGGGAAACGGATATCTCATTAACGCGCTTCGAAAACAACAACCGCCGAAAAAAAAAGGCAATACATATTTTTCGGAAATTCTACTTTCGTCCACGTTTTTTTCTGTCCCAATACGGGCGTGTAGACCTGAGTTTCGCTTGCATTCAAAAATCTGAATCATTACCCACCGTCATCCTGTAGAGCATCTTCACGCAACAGTCTCTGAAGCTCTCGAGTTACCTCGTCGATCTTGTTCCTTGCCTCGAATAGCGGATCCACCTCATCCGCTGCAACGTCGCTTCTAACGGATGTACGACCAGCTTCAACCCCGCGATTCAGCACCCCCGGAAGCAATCCGGCGTCATTTCGGCTATCTGATACGGCAGTTCTACCGCCTGCAATCTGGTCAACAGTGCCATGGGGCAAACAGCCCAGCGAATCAGCAGTGGTAGTCGATGGACCCTCAGCAGAAATTTGATGGGGCTCACCCGAGCCCGAACCTATCCGTCCATCGTTGTTCATACTCGGCGCAGCCGGAAACTCCCCGTGAGCCATTTCCTGATCGAGTGGTAGACGTGAATGAGGGGTTATCTCGCGAAGATTCCTCATGTCACCATGCTGCTCGCCTTCGTTCCCTTCAACGATAACAAACACGGGAATCTCGGCCTCCAGGCGCTGTATGCCTCTCGAGGCGGTTTGGAGATTAGCATCACCGGCGAAGCATCCTTGGGAAAGGCTCGACCTGTAGGCCTCCGCACCAGGTCCGGCTATTTGCGGTGCTTGAACCACCGCCGGGGTAGTCGCGCGTTCGGTTTCAACACCTTCAGGCTCGGTTTGCACGGCGATGGCCCTCTTGCTTCGCGGCGGCGGGTGCACTTCACAACTGTCCGGAGGGCATGAGTTGGTGTTTTTTTTGTCGGCGCCCGCGCCTGGACCTTTGGCAGGTTCGAGTCCGTCGTGGACATCCTGTTTGTTGTTTTTTTGTGACAGATCGAGCAGTCCAGCTGGTACTGGTGCTGCTGATGCTGCTTCATCACGTTCCCCGTTTGATGCAGCTTTCAAGCTCTCCTCGCTCGAGTTCCTCCCCTGGTTTACCTTGTTTTTGCTTCCCTCAGGAAGTCCTTCTGCTATCGTGCCACTTGACAACATCTTGTCGGTGCCGGAGAGTGCGTGGGCGCTGTTTGACGATGGCCCAGAGGAGAATAATTCTGTATAAGAACGTCCAGCTTCCGATATCACTATGTCGTGAGTATCCATGCATGGACGTGGCTGTTTGCTTCGCCTCTGCAGTTTTCTTGCGCTCGGTCTATGATGCACCTGCCGCTTTCGTTGGCAGCGAATGTCGTAGCGCGCTTGTTGGCGTGAAATAAGGGATTCGCGGCCATATCTTTTGGCGACAGCGGCCGCGTTTCGTCCGGAAGAGTTTTGGATCCCCAGGTCGAGAGCCCGGTGGTTGAGGAGATGCCTGGTGTGCTCCTGCAGTATCAATAATTGATACAAGGGCCGTCTTTATATAAAAACCCTCGCAGGGATGTCCCACGTGACAGAATACTATCGTGTTTCTGACCTGGGACAGTGTCGCCCACACGGCGGTGCGCGCTACGACTCAAGATGGGGATTCGAAACACTTGCGGTATCTACAACACGCACGACAGCACGCCAGGTCAGCATTAGGCGGAAGGGCAACGCAGATACGCCTTCGCAGTCGATTTCGATGTGAAAATGTGCTGTGCGCGCGAAGGTAGCAGGAGTCCTTGTGAAAGCTGTGTAGTTCTTGCCGAGAACAGCACACGTCCTGCATTTCTTTGAAGTTTCAGATCCTAAACCATAGTGCGCGAGTTTTTGCCGTCTATGAGACATGCCGTTCGGCATTTTGCAGGGTGAGGGTTAGTCCTTGGCCATAAATATTGCTCCTTGGGTCATAATCCGGGAGAAGTAGGTGTCTGGCCCTGTGACCAGAACCATACCGATGTAATGACACCAGAGCGTCATCATTGAAGGGCGAGGTATCAAGGTCCTACCTTCAATGGCAATTCAACTTGCAATGTGGCGAGTTCTCTCCGAAGCTTCATGTTAGCCCACCTCCAAACCAATCTTCAGAGATATCATGAGCAGGGTATCGCCCTGTTCTGGCTCTACTCCCGCAGGAGCACCCCAGCACAGCTCCAAGGCATCGCAAGCGTCGACGCACCAGTACCACGGCCAAAGGTTGCCCCCTGCGTGCTGGGCAATTTTTGAGCTGAGAATGGCGCACCGGGCAGGCATCGGGACAGACATCGCCGGGAGTGGCCGACATCGCCATAGCAGGAAATCAAACACGATGGACACGAGGTGTTGGAGAACATGGCATTACGATGAACGTCCCTGCCGCTTCGTGCAGGTCGAGTTGACTTGTGGGAAGCTTCTCTACTTGCACACACTGGGGGCTTCGAGGTTGGGACTGTGTCTCGTCGCGTCGACGTTTTCTCCGTTGAATACTGTTCACGGTTGGCAGCGCCAGAGATACACTATTTCGATGATATTAGCCCGACTACATAGATAGGAGAAGGTCAGGCAACTAGATGCCCCCCGGTGGGTCTTCGGATCTATTGCAGATGCTATTTGCGCGATTTCTTCCTTCGACTTTTGCTAGAGCCGCTTTCGTGCAGAGCTTAGCACCAGAGCAAGGGCGACATGGAAACTCTCGTATACAAGTGAGTACGACGGTGGGGCTTGTCCCGAAGCGGACTACATACATACTACTTATACTTCTTTATGAATGTCGGACGGAATCATGGTGAACGCATTTCAATGCTCTGTACCTGGTAGTGGTGGCCGAAACACCATAACATAAAACCGAAATTCCCAACGGTCAGCGGAAGGTTTACCTGGCAAGTTGAATTTTTTGTAATATAATAGCAATACATGTAGACTTAATGGTAATAATCGATGGAAAAAATAGAGAATACAACTGCGACTCACGTTCCTTTCAGAAAAGTTCGCTACGATAGCTTCACCTGTACTGAAAGTTAATATTCGCAGCTCCCACTCTACGCTTTCGAAGGAGACGCTCGAATGACTTGGTCTCCCCATTTCTCGCCGCATGGAACAAGCGTCTTGTGGCGTCAATCGGTTCTTGCTTCGCCGGGCACCCTTGTTTTCGAACGACGCCAGCAGGTATGTAGTCCTGGGCAATCGCTGGGTTCACAGCGTCGATACCTGAACAAAACCCAGCAGTATGTCGCGGGTATGGTGGCACTTCAGAATCGCTGGATCTGGTACGCACTGGTCTATAGACTAAAGAATACCCCCGAGCGTCCGTTTGGGGAAGATTTCGAATTGTTCTACAAGTACAGTAGACTTTGTTGCAAACATGCATGTACGTGTCGCACGCACGTCATTAGGCTAGATGTGTATAGTCTACAGTCTGTCTACTGACGTAGCCCTATCGGATGCATGAAAACTTCTCAGGGCATGGATACGCACCGGCATGAACGAAATTTGGCAGAGCCGCACAAGGTACATGCTGGCCAACGGGAAGCACCTTTCGGTATGCTGGCATCGGATAGCACTTGTTTATCATACAGCAGTTCAACTCGCGCCGGCCCCGAACGCGGTGAAATTATTTTTGAAAATGTTCCGGTTCGAATGAAACCGCCGCCTTTTCGACGAATACCCCGAAATACCGCCAGCGCTAGTCTATTGCCTGTCCCGGCCGCAATAATCTCTCCCCTCTCATGCTACCCGCAAAGTCGCTGCACCCAGTCTTTCGATGAACGGCGTACATGACGAGCTGTGGAACATTTTCACGTTCTACTCGCTTCGAGGGAATCCCCTCGATCTCACGAGGCTCTCGGTGCGTGGACAGCAATACTGCTGTAGTGCGACACGCAATCCGTGCATGCTTTGCCCCGTGCTGGTCGCCTCGTGATCCTTTCATGTCTGACCAGTATTTTTACATTTTTTTGAGTACCGCGCGCAGCACACAGCTGCACATGTACTGGATATGCACCACATTATAAACATCTAATGTATAACATAGTCTAAATACTGCGTGTACTTTACAGTATGCACCTCTGGGTCCAACTCCGCAACCTACGGTCGCGTGGTATAAGGAGCCACCACGTAACATAGGTGCCCGTTATCACTTGTCGTGTATGACACGTGTAGACCAGGCGTATCGCTTTCACCCCAACCAGGCGATATCTACTTGCTCCGACGTCGCGCTACGTGCCCAATGGGCAACATCCGGCGACTGATGGCTGTCATTCATGTACATTCACTTCTACACAGAACAGTCGGGGCACGAAGAAGAATTTTTATCAGGACTCACAGCTTGAGGGCTCATTACACGCCAGCATTGAAGTGGATAGTCGCAGCACCGAAGAAATCCTCATAGTAATAACGAATATCATGTAGACATAGTCTGTAGATTGCAGTGGAGCGGCTATTTCCTGCCCTGCGCACAAGTTTGACTTTTTGTCTACAGTAGGTCCCATCAACTACGGCTTTCGGTGGCGAAAAAATATTTGTTGGTTTAGCCTCCTGCGACCCCCCACCATTATCTGTTGCCTTGATTTGTCAGAATGTGATTTGGTGCAATTAGACGTACAACAAGATCACAGGTGTGCTTGGACCCCAGGTTTGTTCACTCCCTCCACGCTTCGTTTGCTCTTCTCTCCAAGGTGAACCAGTTTTTACGGCTGGCCAGGGACTGCCAGATTGTGAACGGGGGTGATACTGCCTCTAATGGAGGTCTCCGGGTGGCAGAGGCTAACCTTGCGTTTGCTTCTGTGATCCAGGGAAGGGCAAAGGTGCATGAAACTTATCGTGTTACTTCGTGCTGAGGGTAGTGTCTGTGCAAATAGCGAAGGCTCTAGGTTGCGTGTTGGAATCCCTTTGGGTTGAAAAAATCAAGAAACTCGCTATGTGCAGGTGGAACGCGACAGTCGTAAGTCTGCAAGGCAAGGAGGGAAAAGACTGCTGAATCCTTTCGCGTTACAACTAAAGGCACTGATTGCAGTGGGAAGGTGGCGAGTTCTTCCTGCGTATCCCCGGCTGGCGTGTCAGACCTATACCCGGAAGGGTTAGACTGGCGCCTACAATATATGGGACTGGAAATTCGAACAAACAGGAGGAAACACCGTAACCGGAGAATGTACGAGCAGACATAAGTTGTGCTTAGACAGAAAATGGCCAGCAGAGGATCGTGAAGTTTTTTGAGTTCTTACAAAGCGTGATGATGCATTCGATTGTTGCAGTCATCGGACCGATATCAGTGGGTCCATGCAGGATTTGGTGGGAGCAGCGCCAGAAGACCTTCATTCGCGACGATACGGGCCCACTATGTCGCTTGTGGTCGTATCAGTCTCATGAAAACCCGCGCAATTCCTTTCACCGCGCGAGCACGAAGTAATTTCCCTCCTCTATCCAATGATGTTCGCTACAGGTGGTGTCGAAAGACCGTTGGACTCGAACGCACCAAGACATTGCCCGCCCACCCGAAGCAGATATCAAGGGTGCCACCGACAAGAGCAGGCTCACCTATCCGGAGTTTCTAGACGCCCTTATGGTTTTAGGCGAACGCATGTATCAAACAGCGACTCCCAAGAGATCAGGACCAAATCCTTCCGCGGGTGGAGATTCAACGTTGGGAAAAGCTCGCTGCAAGCGGAGTGTGGAGTCCACGTTTCAGCAGGTAAAACTATTGGCGTCAGGCATTAGTGGTCGGAAATCTTGTCACTGCCTATGATGGGTCGTGAAAACCTGGCCCGACCGGTAAAGATACATGCCCCCCCCTCCACGACCAACAATTCTGCCCAACACAGCTGCTCATGGACCACATCCTGCCTTTGGCGTCGCGGCGACGACCTACTTCAGCTGCTGCGGCCATGCGCGACCCGCTTGTGCGAGATCTTCTGCGAGACTTCGCCCCCGCGCTACGAGAAGTTTTCAGGTGCGACGGTGTTAGTGATGTGCCCAAAGCACAACCACGTTCATTTTTAGGCTCTCGCTACTTCTTCACGATAACGGCGACGAGGGTCTGATTGGACGTGCACGATGGTTATTGTGATGTTATTTGACACCCCGCTCCTGGTGACTTGCTTAGGCAGGTTCTACGCGGTGTCGTCTTGTTCAGCTGCTGCGAGACAGACACTACCCAAAAGCGGCGGAAGTGTTAGTTGCGGGGGCGGGGCTAGGAGAGATGCACCACCATCCAGTCTCGACTGTACCGAGGAACAAACAGAGCTACCACACAAGACGGAGAACCTGAAAAATCAAACACCATCCGAGTCTCCTAGCGTCGCCGCCACCGCCGCCGCCGGCACCGCGACACCTACCGCCACCACCATTGCCACTGCGCCCCCTCCCCCTCAATCCTCCGCCCCCCCCAACCCCACCACTATCTCCACCACCGCCCCCGAGACCGCAACGGAGACTGGGTCCGTTGCTTCCTCCTGCCCCCCTTCCTCCTCCTCTACCCCTGCCTCCCCCCCCTCCATCCCTTCCTCCGAAGCGACTTCCGACGCCAATGTTGTTGTCACTAGCGAGGAGACGGCTGTTGCTGGATCCACCACCGCCTCTTCCCCGCCACCACCTCCAACCTGCAGTAGCTTGCCGTGCCCATCCTCTATCTCGTGGTCCCTCCCGAACGAAGAAACCACCACCACCAACAGCGTACACGGGCGGGTCGCGGATGCCGTCGGTGTTGGCGACTGTCGGAGTGGCTGCGGTACTCCGAAAGACGGAGGCAGAAAGAGCATCAGGGGCAACCAGCGAGGGACTGCGCGGGTGGCGGCGATGAACTCCATGGCGGATGCCCTCTCGCACCAGTGCCTGCTGAGTTTCGCGGCGGACTTCGGCCTGTCGGGGGTTCTCTTGTCGGCCCTAGAAGTCGGCGAGATTTTTCTCTCATGCGAGGGTGAGCAAAAGTTCGAACGGTTTCGTTTTGTGCTTTTTCCCCACACCCAAGAGGCGAACGTATTCACCGAAGGATATTTCGACATTTTCTGCACCTTTTTAGCTCACGCCAGAGTTGACACTGTGAGTGCGCATGCCAATCGGTTCCTTCGGTTCGGTGTCTCAATCCTCGTGTGTCGATTGTCGACATCCTAAGCTGCTCATGCTGCCTCTCAGGAGGCCTCACCGACAGTCCGTTCGGGGAGGCACGGGCAGGAAACGGCACGATTTGTTCGGGGAGCGCCCGTCGTAACAACCTAGCGCGAGCCGGCAAGGGCGGCATAAGACCACTTGCATTCCAGGAGTTTTTGGAGGTATGTGGATCCGGGTGTGGGGTAGGTTGAGCCGCGTCCTCGAGAATCCGGCAGGTTCCCTCATCGTTGACGAGGTCGACGGGATCGAGGACGCGCGTTGGAAGCCATGACCGTCACCCTTCATTTGCTGGTGCCGCACTTTTCTGTAACAACAATGGTTTTGGGTTCGCCGACGTCGACTCGAGTATTCACAACAGTGTTTCCGAGATTCGACAAGTCCGGGCCCTAGGGTTGCGTCACATCGTATCGAGAAGAGGCGTAACAGCAAGATCGGCGAACGAATACCCTTCAACCAAACGTCTTAGCGAAAAGCTTCTGTGTCGCGACTTGATCCCTTCTTGGGCGTTCTTCTAGGAAAAAACAGTTTTGGTCCAGAAGAAACCCCTTTGCACCTCCGGCCTGTGGAGTCTTCACGCCTTGGTAGCGTTTGGCCGAAATTTCTTTGGGTGGTATACGCAAGTGGCAACAGCGATGGCGTAACGTTTTCCCATCTCCTGCCGTCCCTCATCTCCCGACGAACGAATTGATGTTTCGTTAGGCCTTGGTTCGAATTTCATTGGAGTGTTTCCGCTCGAGGGGCAGCGGCGTTTGGGACGTTGGACAGGAAGCCTGTTGTGAGGTTGTCGCGCCCGGACACTGCTTGCGAGCCCTCTTGACGCACATGTGGAGAAGACTGCACGACTCCTCAGAGCTCGCCCTCAACGGGGTTCGAGCGGGTGGAACAAGACATAGATCGAGCATTCAGAAGGTGATATTTTGTAGGGGCCTGGAGGGTAAGCACGCAGGCTGCTGATACAGGATTAATATTCGCTGATTTATTTCAAACAGAGGACACGATGCAATGAAGGGAGATACATAAACCGCCTGAGGCGTTGTTGCTACGTGATGAATGCTCTTTGGCCTGCCATATACATCGATGAAATACATGATATTCTGCAGATAGAACAGTTGGTTCACTGGATCCAAAGGGACCTGACCGGGCGATTTTCGGCAGACTCTTCTTCGAGGTGTCTTTCTCAGGAAATGCCAACACAAATGGATTGTAGCGTGGGTGGCTTCCAACATGTACGAACGCCGTACAATGTGAAAGCTAGCTCGCGAGAACCGCCACACCTGCACTACACCCGCCCCACGTTCCGTTGCACGACCGCTTGAACGCACAGGGTGCGCTGCTGAAGGGTGTGCAGCTGTTCAACGAACAGATGCTTTCCCGTTGTAGGGCGGAGGGTTTTCAGGACTTTGCCTCAGGTAGCGTCTCATCCACCACCTCGAAATCAGCCGGGACGTCTCTTTCGTACTCTCCTAGACAAGGACATGCGATGGAACTTCTCCGGACTTTGTTAGCTGCCGGTGAGGGCCACGACGTTCCCGACGGAGATGGAGACGACGCGGAATCGTCGGAGAGATACGACGGGGGGCGGGATCGGCATACCAAGAATGGGGTTGAGGGTGCGGGGGGGAGTGGCGGCGTCCCGACCGGGGAAGACAAGACAGAAGCGTTGGCGTCGAGACGACCTCTCCTGGTGTAGCTGTGGTGCTCGGTTGCCGTCGAGACGACCTCTCGAAGAAGCCATAACTGTGCAGCTCGGTATTGGAGGATGAAAACAAAAGGGAGTGCTGACCTCCCACGGCTATTGCTTGTTTGTGTCGCCTGTCAGTAAATCCACTAGGTAACCAAGGCTTTCCTCTCCCAAGGTCGGCGGCTGTAAACGATTAGCCTACGTATTTTCCTCTTGTGCAAGGTCCTGACGACGTCCACTGTCTTGCTCGTCAGATCCTAGACTATGTACCTCGCCATGCGTACGGTAGTCGGTTTGAGCGGTCACCGATCGAAATGGCCCTCGCCCTATATACGCGCAACCTTTCGCAGTCGAGGACAGAAGCGGAACCACCGGAGACAGATGATACACGTGGAATCTTAGGTGTGGGTACAGGAGGCAACGCACCCCGGGCGGAAATTTTGATGCTGTGAAAGGCCAACAACACGAAACAATGAATGGCGCTCCGCGAAGCCTCTCTCGCCCAAGCAGTGGCTTCAGCGAATCCAATGCCATTGTATGACCTCGTGTTGTGGTTTCGCACTGCTGCTGTAGATACGAAGGCGAAACAAAAGCAAGGCAAGTTTTTGCTGTCGACGATTGATGGGTAGACCCAGATGAGGACCATGCCGACCGACCTTGTGGGGCTTGTCAACATCTAACAGCGAGCTCGCGATAGCATCCTGCATATCATGGAATTATGCAGTGAATCAACGTGCTCGATGCAACCCCGGCCGCAGTTTCACTGGTGCCCAGGCATTGGCACTGGTAGGCTGTAATCGTCCCTCGACCATTTTCTTTGTAGATGCGAGACCCCTTCGCAAAGCCTCTCGCCGCGATCCATTCAGTGCCACTGAACAACGTTTCTCTACTGAACAGACGGGCCTCCATTCACTATGGCTATCGAAAATGGATGCTGTGAGCCAATAGCGAGCAGGGTAGTGGGACGTTGACTCTTCGCCTTGCTGTTGCAGCCGTATCCTGACACTCCGCCAGTTCTTGTGCCTCCATAAAGGCGTGGGGACGACAGTCTACGAAGACCGTTCGTTCTTCATCTTCCTCTGTTGAATGCATGTAAATGTACGCTGATTTTGGCATGCTATACTACCTCTGTTGAATGCATGTAAATGGACGCTGATTTCGTTCCCAGGGTCTCGTGACCACCGCTATGCGGACGAGGTATCGGGCGACAACCCACTTTACTGAAAAACAGTCAAACGCAACGTTGCTTCTCTCTCCTCTCAACGAGGAAGAGAACGATATCGTATCGAGGATCGGGTGGCGGAGGCTTTCGCGCAGCGGGGACAAATGTGTTTTCTTCAAGAACCCAGTAAAAAAAAACACGACACGAAGGACAACAGACTCACCAGCCGCTTTGTGGGGGGAACTCGATCTTCTGGATTGCTGTGACGGCTCTGCTGTGACAGCCCAGGTGAGACAATGTAGTGCCAGGGTAGAGGGATGGGAATCCTCCGTGGTGGGCCACCATCTTCGTCAGTTTCTCGGGTATAGTACAAGTACAAGACTGGTGTCCAGCGCTGCAACATGATGCCATGCGGGCTGCTTGAAAGAGGCAGCAGCGGCGATACTGCTGCTGATGTGTATAATCTGCAGGTTCTTGCGCTGAGGACGTTGCCCGCACTCAGGGCGTCGTCCGCCCCGCGGCCACTTGCCAGGGACCTCTCCACCCAGGATTTGAAACGCGCAGCGGGGCGCGGGAGACGACGCACATGTCCTCTGCAGCTGCACAAGATGTCCCTTGGGTGAAAGCCGTTCAGTACATTCCCAGACTCCTCTCTATCGTCTGTGCAGACCCCAGAGGGATGGATGTGCGGAATGTTTTCTGCGCTCCTAAAATAATAATGCAAGGGAGACACATGTTCATCTGCACGCGAACCAACTCACAAGGGCAGGGAACAACGGGTGTTTCTATCCCTCTCGGCGGTGTATGGCACACGTAGGTTGATCGTCTAGCGATCCCATCGTGGGTAAACTCGTTCCGGCCAAATGCCCGTGAGCCCTGATCCTGGCGGCGGCGTATTTTTTTTTTCTTCTTTCATCAGTACAAAGCAGGACGCTGTAGTACACTGCATTACTTAAGACTGCTGTTGTCGTCATCGTCTGGTCGACCAAGGACTGTTGATGGCGGCAGTGCGGGGTATGTAGCCCCGCTCCCTTCAATGTGCATTATTATTTCTCCCGCAGGAGCACGCTTGGGAAAGTCTTCCGATATTCAGGGGACGAGGGACGATAATCTGCTCGAACGAGGGCATATTTGTTTGGACGATGGACACAGTTAACCTTGTTCTAGATAAAGTATTACCAGTCTGAAGTTTAGGCCCGTGTCAGAGGTCATTAGCATGGTGGCGGGCAAGCGGTGTGGTATGTCGTCGACCTTGCCCACTAGAACGTTTGTGCAAACGAAGTACCACGCCATGTAGCTTGCTGCTGTTTCGTCACCACCCCTGTTCACCGTGCATGCCCTCCCTCCCTCCCTCCCTCCCTCCCTCCCTCGCTCTCTGCAAGCTTACAGCACTAACTCCGGAGTTCGATCAAGTTATTGACAGCATGTATGCATCGAAGGCAAACCAGCCTCTCGTGTCCACATCCCCGCCACTTTTTTGCGTCCCTTCCAGCGAGAAACTTGCATAATCCACGAACAACCTTCCGGCTTCGGTTTCCGCACAAAGGCAGGAGCCATGCCGTCGAGCAACCACCCCTCTGGTCGCGGCGAAGCGTTGAAGGCACCACCACCAGGCGACGCGCAGAACGTGGCGCAGCTGCTGCGACGCCGCCGGGAAGGGAAGATTCCGGTGGGTGTTGTTCCATTGCTTCTTTGTTTCCTGTCGCTGCCTGTCCTTTTTTTTCGCCCTTCGTCCTTGCTTGCAAGAAGCTGACTACTTGTCTGACCGACCGACTGTTGCTTAGGCGTCGACGGGTGGCGGAGTCTTGGGAGGCAGCACCAGCGCCAGGGCGACGAGCGCCGCCCTTCGCGGCAACAGGGGTGTCGGAGGCAGAGTGGGGGCGGGGGGAGTCTCTACACCGAGAGATTTTGGCTTTCGTCGGAATCTGGGGCAGCACCCGTCGATGATCCAAAGGCTGAGGCACACGGCTACGCTGCGTGGCCACTCCGGTGAGTGTGCCTGCTCGGTTACGGCCCTCGTTCGCCTTTCCTTGGTTCTCTTTGTCCCGCTCTCTTTTCGAAATTCTCTCCTCTCTGTCTGTCTGTCTGTCTGTCTGTCTGTCTGTCTGTCTGTCTGTCTGTCCATGTCTCAATCTCCATCTCCGTCCCTTGCGCGGTTTCGATATCCCTCCGTCTCTCCCCCTCTCTCCTACCCCCACACCCACCTCCAAGAAAAGGAGGCGTTGTCGTTTGTTTCCCTCTGAGCTCGACGCGTTTCCGCTAGTCAGCCCGTGAGCGCGGTCGATGCCGTTGCACGATTGCGGCGACACACACACACACACACACACACACACACACACACACACACACACACAACTGAGACTGACGTGTTTTCATCAGTCAGCCGCTTAGTGCAGTCGACGCCAAGTAACAACCGCTCCCACGCACCCGCGCAAGACTGACGTCTCTTCGGCGGTAGCCGTCCGGTGTGCGCGGTGGAGGCTACTTTAGCAAACACACGCTCGGGCACACTTCGTTGGTGTTTGATGTCCTTGTGGGTGACGACCATATCCTTCATGGCCCCCTAGTCCCAGGATCTTGGCTTTGTTCCTGCTCTTGAGACTGGCGTCTCTTCGTTAGTTGACCGGATAGCGCAGATGCTGCTACAACGGAAGAAGCACCCCCACGGCCTTCCAGGCGTGCTATCTCCCCCCTTTCCCCACGCTCTTCTATTTTCCTTGTTGCGGTGCCTACCGCTTGGGCACACCCTTCCGTGATTGTCATGGCTTGACCGGCCGGTGTGTGCCTGTTCAGGGTGTGTTGTTTGGCTTCCCCTCCGTGCCCTCTCGCGGCTTGACCGACTGCTGTATGCTCGTGCGCGGTCGCGCTTTTGTTGTTGTTTGTGTGCGCTGACCAATGAAAAATACGCCAGTCTCAGTGCGGCTCAAACTCTGCGTATGTGTTTAATGCTTGCGTGTTCAGGGTGCGTCAACCGGCTGTGCTGGAACGACGCCGGCACGCGGATCGCCTCGGGCTCCGACGACACGACTGTCTGCCTCTTCGACGCGGCTTCGGGCAAGCGGGACGTCCAGTTCCAGACCGGTCACCGGAGGAATATCTTGAGCGTGAAGTTTCTTCCTTGCACAAACGACCAGGTAGATTCAACAACAGCTGCCGTGGGCGCGAAATCAATGAGACACAGCAGGTTTCGTACGATCCCCCCCCCCCCCCCCC